CTCCACACTGTGCATCTAAGAAAGCGGTTGCTAAAGGGTTTAGAGTGAAATGTCATGGCGTCTGCGAGGAAAAAGACAGAGAAAGGAGAAGGCAAATGGCCGTGTGAACAACTGTGCATCTCCTCAGCTGGGGCACCCTCACCCCCCGCTCCCTCTCCGGGACTGAAGGACTCACCCACCCACTGCTGGGAGGACTGAGTCTCTGCTCAGTCCTCCCTGGGACTTGTGGTGACTGAAGAGAGCTACCTGCCTCACCGCTAGACCCCTCCTGGGGTGGCCCACAATGGACAGCTGGTCTGGTCAGTGTGGGGGTATCAACTCCTGCCTCCTCCTCTCAAGTCAGAAGGGCTTCGGAGGGTCATTGGAGCTCCCTTGGCCCCGGGCTGGGCCTCTGCTGTGACCATGGCACTCAGCCCCGTCCGTCCAGCCCAGCATCCTCCCCTGGCCATCTGCGGGTTCCCTCTCCAAAACCCAGTGTGAGCCCAGGTGAAGGTGCACTCGCGGGGTATGAACCTGTCCACTTCTCTGTGAGTTTGAAACTTTCTCAAAATAAAAACTTGGGGGAGAAAATAAGTTAAAGACAAATGGGATAATATGTATCAGAAAAGGGTAGGCGCTTTCATTTATAAAGCATTCTTACAAATCAGTAAGAAAAAGACAAATAGCCCAACTTTTAACATGCTCAAAGGAAATAAACAGGATCACTAGAAAGAAAATTCTGAGACCAACAAACTGGTGGAAACATGCTTAAGCTCACTAGGAGTCAAATACATGTCCTTCAAATCAAGAACTGTCACTTTCCCCTTACCATATTTGAGAGGATTTAAGGAAATGAATCCAGGGCTGGCACAGGTTTGGGGAGGAGCTCTATGCCAAGCCTCCTGGGGGAATGCTTGGTGGCAGTTCTCAAAGCCACTGAAAGTTTTGTGTCCCTATGCCTGCGCTCAAGTTCTCCAGACTTCTGCAGTCCCATTCCTTTAGCATCCAAACAGGAAGCCTGGCTTTGCTGGGCCCCAGGGAGTAGGGGGATGTCCTGGGGGAGCATCACAGAGAACAGAATCAAGGCAGCCACAGAACACTACCATCCCGGCGGGGTCCTCCTCTACAGATGGGGGGCCCACCTGTCTCTCCCAGAGCTCGCAAGTTGCCCCCAGGCAACTCCTCACAAATGTCTGTTACTTTTTAATGCAAAAGGATTAACTTCTTGGTCTTCCTGCTCTTCTCCCCATCTCCTGAGATCCTCCTTCACTCAACAAAAGACACGGAGACCCACCAAAGTGTTTTTTGACACATTACCCCTTTTCTCCCAAGCAGCCTCCTGATGGATCTGGCTCAAACAGCTAGCTAGCATTCAAACGATCACCCATCCATCTCCCACCACGGACCCCACCTTCCCATCAAATGTCCGTAGCTTACCGACTGGAAAAGTAAGTTTCGTATATCAGCACAAAGCATCCGAGGTAAAGATTTAAGATGATGGTTTGGGAGGTAACCGTGAAAAATGCTTACAGGGTGATAAATGAAAAAGCAAGTTACAAAACAGTATATCCCAAAAGATTTTGTATTGTTTAAAGATGTCTGTGTGTGTGTGTGTGTGTGTGTGTGTGTGTGTAGAACAAAATGCCAAGAGAGCAGGAACAACAAAATGTGCACAGTTGTTATGTCTGGTATGAAATGAGCGGTGAATTTTATGTCATTTTTGTACTATCAGTATTTTCTGTGTTTGTTCTGTAATGAGGATGAATTAGAGCTATACGACAGTTCTAGAAGTAGGGGATCTTCTAGAATCACGCTTCTGGAGAAGGATGCCTCACTCACTGCCCTACAGTCATGTCCATCCTGAGGCCCACCTTGACTCAGGCCTCAGCTTCCTACAAAAATATTGTCCCTCACACCCCAGACCCCAACCTTTCCCTTTGGTCCTTCTGTGAGTCCACTCACTTCTTCTTCAGGATAAATGTTAACTCTTGGACACTCACTCAAGGCCCCCCAAGGGCAGGTCCCCTGTGGTGCCTGCAGCCTCCTGATCCCACTCCCCCCCACCCCCCCCCCCCCCCCCCCCGCATGCCCCCCCCCCCACCCCCCCGCAGTCCCCAGGACACTGCGCTCTCCGGAAGCACGCTGGTTTTGCAGTGCTGGCTATGACACACTTTACATCATCTCTCCCTCCTCCTCCTCCCCCTCCTTAAGCACCCCTAAGCCATACTGAACAGTTTTTAGTTCCAGCCTTCTGTAAGTGCTTTACAGCTGTACCAACTGGGAAGCCATTGCCAAAAACCCCACTTAGAGCGGTCTAAGCACTTGTGTGAGAAGTCTCGACACCTCTCAAGAAAGAATCTAGGGCTTGTACGGTAGTTCATGAGCCATCAGGTCCCCGCCTCTTCCATCCCTAATGGGTAGGCCCCAAATTCTTTCTTGCGCTTCACCGCCCCAAGGTGGCTGCTGCCTCTCCAGCATCTTATCTCCTTTCCAGGCGGAAGACAGGGAAAAAACAAAGAGTTTTCTCCTAGCAAGGTAATTCAACTTCAGGAACTTTAGGATATGTGGCCAGAAATTGTCACGTGTGCCCTCCTAACTGGAAAGGAGGCTGGGAGTATGAGTGTTTCACCTCCCTGCCTCCAGGGAAGGGGATCTCGAATGGCTTCGGGATAACGAATCCACAGTGCTTACCAGACATTTCCTCTCATCCCGGTCATAATGAATCTCCAGCAGTGTGTGAATTAAAGGTTGCCATTACGTTCACTTCACCGATAAGAAAACCCAAAGCTCAGAGATGACATTCATGTTTTTCATGACCCAGGTCTGGCCCCACCTCCTCCCAGAAGAGTTCCTTGAATGCCCCAGACGCAGGCAGAGTTAGCTGGATGCCCTTCCCTGTGCATCCCAGGCCTGCATCCGTGTTGACATCTCCAACTACTCCTGTGCAATGTGTGAGCCCCACCAAGGAAAGCTGTGTCTTCTGCATCCTCAAAGCCTGGCCGGGTGGCAGGCCCAGAACTGTGGCTGGGAGCGTTTGCTGAGTAAGCGGGGAGGTGGTGGCCCTGCTCCACTTGGGATGCCTACACCGCTAGAGTGCTAAACATCACATTGGAGGACAGAGACAAATCAGCAGATCCCCAGGAGAACCATCCCAGCAGAAACAAGGGCAACGTTAGTGCACCGTGTGGCCAGAGCTCAGATCAGACTCCCTGCAGGCTGCGGACTGCACTGCCCCTGGGGCCCAGCGACTTCCCTGGGGTAGAGGGAACCGATGCCTGGAGCATTCCTCCAGGGCGGTGCAAAGGGAAACTGTAAGATCCTCGGCAATGTGGTTTGCATTACTGCAGTTTCAGCCATGGCAGGGGCTCCCTGAGTCAGGCAGGAAGCAGAAAATATCAGATTTAGATCCCACATTCCGTGCATTGTATACAATTATCCACTGGAGCCACATAGGGGCAAGCAGGACCCATGGAGACAGAAAGTGGGATTGCTCTCAGGGACCAGGTCACTCTATCATGGGGAGCCGGTCGTGTTCTTGGCAGCCTCCAGGAGCCCCAAAGGCCCCAACGCTGTGCGCACTTGGGAGCCCCTAGGGCCAGGGGTGAGTTTCACATCCCTGCAAGGCCTGGGCAAGCTACTAGCTGCGGCAACAAGGGGAAGTCCCCTTCTCCACAACCTTGCACCTGTGCTTGGTGTATAAGTGCTTCCCTAGATCCTCCCTGGCAGTTTCCACAGGCTCAATGAGGGCTCAGCCCCAAGTGGCTTCAGCAGCTTCTGACCCAGGACCCTGAAATCAAGGGCTCGGGGTGTGTATGTGTGTGTGTGTGTGTGTGTGCGCGCGCGTGTGTGTGTGTGTGTGTGTGTGTCATTAGGAAGGAAGGGCACCTGGAGAGACAGGTCTGCACATGGAGAAGGAGGGAGAGTGTTAGCAGTTCTGTGAGAGGGAGACTTTGGGGTGACAAAGATTGTCTCCTTGACCAAACTTTAGGCTCCTCTGATCCCTCATCTTCAGTCAGCCTTGACCTTGACTCCACTCTCGCCCTGCAACCTGCATGGATGGCCCAGTCTTAGCAAGAATCCTCTTAAGCAAGCTGAGAGATGATTGTCCACCCCCACACCCACCCTCAGGGGAATCTGATCCCCCTCCACATCTGATCAAGTTCTCCATCTCCACCTTTGATGTCTAAGCCCTAGCCTGCCTTCAGCGAGAATCCTGCTAGGTTGGTTGAGCAAGAACCACCGCCCCTTGCTGTCTCCTCCAGAACCCTGGCCATCTATCACCACGTGTCCTGGCTGGACGGAGCTAGGCCTGACCCCACTGCTGTGACAGTCCAGAGCCCATTGCAGTGGTCTCCAGTAATCTTCCGTGGGGCTTTAACAAGAGTCTGAATGATATACGGTATCTCTTTTGCAGGGGAGAGGAAAGAAGCTTTGAGAAGCTTTTGTTGAGAAGGCCCTGTTGGCTTCTTTCAGGAGGGCCGCTGGGAGGCCTCCAGAACCGTCAGCTGCTGCTTCTTCGGACAGCGCCCCGCAAACGGGTCTAACTGATCTTGTTTCCTGGGGTATAGGTTACCTCCTTCAACCCTCCTCTGAGCATCCCCAGGGCCATGACCACTGGCTGCCCTGTTTCCCAATACGCTCCCCAAGGCAGGGGAGCCAAGTAATTTGCCGTCTGACTCTGGGCACTCTGCTAGGAGCGAACCAGGCGCTGTCGCTGCCAGGACAACTGGCGCAGACCAGGCCTTGCCGTTCCCAACAAGCCTCCGTTTATCTTTCGGTGCCTCCTGGCCACGGGGTTGGCTCAGGACCCTGGTCCGGGGATAGGGGGCGTCGTGGGGGGCAGGGGGCTTGGCCAGGCTGGACCCGGGCCTCCGACACCGCCCACCCGGCGCAGGGCAGTAGTTCCCAAGCACCAGGAAGGCCGCAAATTCACGGCGGCCTCTGGCAGAGCCCGGTGGCCACCAGGGGGCGGGCGGGGGCCGGGGCCGGAGCCGGGGCGGGCCGAGCGCGCGGGGCGGGGACGCGGCGTCGCCGTCGCCCGCGGGTCCCGTGACCGTGCGCCCCGCCCGGAGCCGGCGCGGTCATGCAGTCCCCGGCAGTGCTCGTCACCTCCAGGTGAGCCAGACCCCCGGTGCTCGGCGCCGCATCTCGGGCCGCGTCGACTCCGGGTGCGCGCGAACGAGCCGGATGCGCCCCAGTCCGCGGAGCAGGCGGAGGCGTTCCTCCCCGTGGGTCCGCGGCCGGGCCTCGCCAGCGCCCTGGCGGGTGGTCGAGAGTCGGCCCCCCAGCCGCCCCGCAGGAGAAGTGGACGCATTGAGTGTCTCCGTTTTACAGATGGGGAAAACTGAGGCCCTTAAGAGGGTAACGAACTCGCTCCGGACCCAGTGGAAGGCCGGGATTGGCTGGTCCCGTAGGCGGGCGGAGAGGGGGTTTCCTCTCCCCTTTGCCGACGTGCGTTCACCTCTTTTTAGCCCGAAAATATAGTTTATGCCTCCTGTCAGCGCTCACTGTGTGCCAGACCCCGTGCACGGCACTGGGGATGGGGGTGAATCCTAAAAAGCCCGGACTCTTAGGGGACACGGAATGAACCCAGGTCTGCGGGGGCCAGAAGCTAAGGGGGAGGGGGCAGTAGGTTCAGGTTGCCATGGGAGCGCAGTGCAAGGGCGGAACCCAGGCATCTAGGAGGGGGCGAAGGAGGCCGCGTCCCAAGGAAGAGTAGGAGTTAACCGGGTGAGGGGGAGAGAAGCGGTGGCAGCTGCACCAGGAGGTAGCTCCGGAGAAAAGTGCAAGTTACAGCAGATGCCTGGGAGGCAGAAGGTGCCGTGGTGGCCCAGCCTGACCCAGACCTGGAGGACCTGTGCAAGGTGGATACTGGGAAGGAGGCATGTGCTTTGACTCTGTTATAGAGTGACTCACTTAAGGTATTTCCGCAGACGCCACTCTCCTTTCCCCTACCCAGGATCTTGGTCTAAGATGCCAGTTTCTTGCAGAAATGGATGTATTTGTTTCCCAGCCCAACGGTTCTTTTTCCCGCTGTAATCTGAACTCCCCTGTGACTTCAGGTCTAGAAAAATGTGATTCTGTATGTGAACCCTGATGCCAGAACCTGCTTGGTGTCCCCTGCATGACCCAGTGAGGTCACAGGCTGTGTCTTCATTGGCACAAGTGTGCCTGGGGTTCCCTAAGTCACCTCTCCCTGAGCCTGTTTCATTCTCTGCAAAAAGAAGTTTTGAGATTGGCAGGTATGAAACGTGCCGGCGGCAGACTCCCCTCTTAGCCCATACAGATGGGGTGCGACTTCGGCGCCCAGTGCTTGGGAAGGGGGTTGGTGGCTTTCCTCCCTGCACCCCGCCGGCAGGGCCTGCTCACAGTCATGGGTGCCCAGCAGGTGGTGCTCACTCCTTCCCCCTGGCAGGCACCCACAGACCCAAGCCGCTGCCCGCAGGGGGGTCCAGATGCTTGAGACCGGCCACCAGGCAGGCTCCTCCCAGTCGGACCCCAGTTCAGCTTTCTAGCGCAGCCCCCCACTGCTCATCGCCTCTGGCCTTCACACCTGCGTTTGTCCAGCAGCTCCTGGCCCGGTGCCTGCTCTGTGCCAAGGACTGGTTCAGGTTCTAGGGTACAGCAGTGAACCAAATGAAGCCCATGTTGTGGAGCTTTAGTGGGGACAGCTGGACAGTAGGTAAATAGATGGTGTGTCAGGGACGATAAATGGTATGAAGGAAAATTAAACAGGAGGGAGAAAGAGGAGACAGGAGTGAGTGCTGTTTCATCCAGGAGTGTCAATCTGACAGAGTGGCAGTTGGGCAGATCCAGACAGGCTCCCTGAGGGAGGGAGCCATGAGGATATCTTGTACAAGATAGTACCGAGCAGAGAGGACAGCAGAGCCAATGTCCTGGGGCAGGGCACCAGCAAGGAGACCAGCGTGGCTGGAGTGGCGTGGGCCTGGGGGAGTGTTGGGTGAGGCAGTGAAGAGCTGTGGGTTTGGGAGTGGGTGGGTGGGGGAGCAGTGCAGGGGTGGAGGGAGAGAGAAGGGACAAGGAAGACTTGCAGAAGTGTGCCTTGGGTAGGCGATGGCCTCAAGTAGGAGCCAACCAGTGTATCCCCAGAGGTGGGGGAGGCGGGTGCACGCCCGTTGTGAGGCGGAAGCTCGGGGATCTCTCTGATTGCTGCCGTTCTCCGTGAAATAAGAAGCAGGGCTGTCAGGGGAGAACAGCATCGAGGGTCCATTGGGGGTTTGTGGAGCAACGCGGCTTAGACCCCACGTCTTGCTGCTCAGTGGATGGTCCCAGGAGCAGCAGAGTAACGTCAGCATCACCGGGGAGCTGGCTGGAAAGCAGACTCTCAGGTCACATTCCCGAAGTGCTGAGTCCAGACCTGTGCATTGACAGCTTTCGCGGGTGCACCTGAGGTTCCAGAAGCTTGGTGTTAAGGCACAGCCGACTGAACTACACCCGTGAGGCAAGTCACACCCACCTCTTGCTTTTGTACATAAAGTTGGTGTATCGTCCTGGCTGCTGTCATGCCACGTGGCCGAGTTGAGTAGTTGTGACAGAGGTCATAGATCCTACAAAGCCTAAAATGTTTATTGTCTGGCCTTTTATGGCCAAAGTTTGCCTGGGGTCCAGGGGCATGGGAGAGTGAGTGAGTCAGGCTGAGGTGCATCGGTTACCTGGAGAAGTTGTCAACATGAAGCTGGTGGGTCCCCCTCCCCGGGGCTTCTGATGCAGTGACCTGAACTTCCCAGGTGACACCAATGTGGCGGGGACCACGGTTGGAGAAGCCCAGTCTAGACCAAGGCAGGGGTGCCAGGCCCAGGCTGCGGCTTGTAGGTTGTGGCTCTGAACTCCAGGTGGGACCAGGTGGCATGTCCGAGCGTTTGTCCCTGTCCCGGGCAGCTGCTGGGCACCGGTACAAAGGAGGCAGAGAACTGGAGAATTCGGGAGGGGGCGCTGGAGAGCTGGGCCTGCAGCAGTGATTCCAGCCGTCGTACCCTGGGGCCTCCCAGCCAAGGAGGTGTGACAGGAGCAGCAGGTACAGTGGGAGCAGTGGGGTCGTGGGCTGAAGGTCCTGGGGTGGTCCGATGCGGGGTACCGAGAGGGAGAGCGTGACCTCGGTGTTAGGTGGTGCCTGCCGGTGGGAGGTCAGGGGCTTCTGCACACCTGCTTTTCTCGGCCGAGAGGCCCCCTCCTTCCGCCCACCTGTGCTTCGTTGCCTTAATGATCCTCGTTCCTGCCTCCCTCCAGCCTGGAAGAGGCAGCGCACAGGCTCTGGGGCAGCGGCCTGGGTGTGAACGTTGGCTCCGGCTCTGACCAGCAGAGACCCAAGCAGGTGACTCCCTTGTGCCTTGTTCCCGCTCTGTAAATGGGTCCCAGCAGTTGTGTCCCCTGTAGGGCTGCGAGAGCAGGAGTGACCTCGGTGAGGTCCTGAGAGCCCACAGCAGTGCCGGCTGCTCCCAGGCTCATTTGTCATGGGCTCTGCGCTCCCATGCTCGTCCCAGGAACACGCGTGCACACCGTGTGCTAAGCCGGGAGCAGCACCGGCTCGCTCCGCGGAAGGCCGAGAGTGCTCCTTTGGTCCCTGGCCCAAGGAAAGGAGGGCTGATGCGTGAGGTGTGTTCTTCCATCTCACAGAGGTACCTTTGGTGTCGCCTGGGCGTCCCTCAGTCGTCAGTGCTTATGACAGCGAGCCCTGTGTCCCACGAAAACGCTCATGTGTGTGCGGAGGTCTGCAGGCTCCCCGCGTGTGTATGCACTTCACACGCAGGTGGGTGGCACTTGTCCTCCTCGGTGGGGGACAGACGGCATCCCTGTGGTGACCGTGTCGCATGCCTGTGTAGAGGTGGGAGAAATCCACGCCGAAGGAGTCCTGGGGAACAGAGTGTCTTTGAAGTCCTGCTCAGCCTCGAGGATGAGGGGTCCTGTCCTGGGTGTGTGTGATGTGTGTTTGTACGCGTGGGTCCGCATTACCCCCTTTCAGACGGCGAGCGTGCAGTTGCCGTAACATCTCATGACCTGTTGACCCCCCATACACATCTGTGTCGTGATGACCGGTTCTCCAGCAGCTGCACTATTTTGCTGGGCACTCTCGCAAAGCCTCACACCACAGCCTTCTCAGGGCCTCGTGGGGCCCCACGGCTCCTGAGAACCCTACAAAGATTCCTTTGTAGCCCTCCTGCCCTCAGGTTCGCTGAAGAAACAGGTCTCTGCTCTGGTTCCCGGCGGCGTGTCCGTCTTTCCCTGTGCGCCGACAGCCCCCAGATGCCATCCCTCCAAATCCTGCAGGGGCTGGTGCCCTGAGTGTGCGGAGCTCACCTCCCCGCTGGTGATTTTCCACTAGCCCTGTCTCTTCTGCTCCCGCTTGTTTTCCTGCTGGGGACGCCGGTGTGTGGTGGGGCAGGTGGCCCGAAGCAGCGGCCATGGAGGACAGCCCGCGGAGGGGCCTCCCGCCAGGCCTGCGGGAGCACCCTAAGGCCCTGTCCGCGTGTCGCTCCAGAAGCCTGCCGACTTGAACCTGAGCTTCCTCTGCCTTCTCTCCCTCCGGCAGGCGAGTTCAGAATGTGCACACGGGTCTCGACCTGACGGTGCCGCAGCACCAGGAGGTGCGGGGCAAAATGCTGTCCGGCCACGTGGAGTACCAGATCCTGGTGGTCACCCGGCTGGCCGCGTTCAAGTCGGCCAAGCACAGGCCCGAGGATGTCGTCCAGTTCTTGGTGAGCAGGGGGTTGGGGAGGGGTTTTCCAGGGGGGCCAGGGACCCGGTGACACACCTGCCACCACCGCATGAGCCTCAGCAGGGAGCGGGTACATCTCTAGCCAGCACTTGCTTGGGCCAGAGAGTGCCAGAATGTGCCAATCCGGGAGGGCGCGAGGGTCTCCCAGGTAGAGGGCCCAGCCTAAGCAGAGACTAGCCACAGGGCTGGGGAGGGGTCGGTTTGTGTGCAGTGGAGTATTAGCCTGGAGGACGCGGAGACAGCGGACAGGGTCCGGGTCACAGTCACAGGGGGCGTACAGGGAGCCCAGCTTGTCCTGCAGCCAGGTTGGAGTTGTAAGTAGGGGAGTGACTCACTGGCCCCTCTGGTGGGGAGTGCTGATGGATTGGGAGGAACCGGGCAGGGGCAGGGGGCCCAGTGATGAGGCCAGGGGAGGACTGGAGGCAGGCCAGCAGTGAGGGGGAGGTGGAGATTTGTGAAATATCTCCAAGGTAATGTGCATATCGTCTGCACCAGCAGAAGTAAGGAGCGGAGGGGGCGGTCAGTCAGAAGGACACAAGAGGACCAATCCATGGGCTGGAGCCAGGGACCGGTCAGGCGCAGGAGGCAGGTTTGGGAGGCATCAGCTTAGAAGTGATGTTAAAAGTCTGGGACTGGATTAGGTTGCCCAGAGAATGGACGTGGAGGATAGAGGGAAGGGCTTAGGAGGGAACCCCAGAGACCCAGCCGTGCCGGGATGGTCATGGAGAGGGAGGAGGCTCTGGGGCCTGGAGTCACAGGAGACTGGAAATGCTGGAGACCCAGCATCCTGGAGTCACAGGAGCTAAGGGAAGAGAGAGCTTTAAAATAAAGGCAAAATGAACGAGAGCCCTGTGGTGTAGACAGGATCAGTAGCTACAGGTTTGCTCATGGTTCGTTCTGAAAGTCCTGGCAGCCGAGACAGAAAGGGAAACAGTGAGTGACCCGGCTGTGGTGCCCTAGTAGCAGAGACATCACCTTCTCAGAGATAAAATGCATGGCCCAGGTCTGTCTTTGCGGGAGACGGAACCCATGGTAGCATCTAGAGGACGGTATCTTTCATGTGCTGCTTGGACTTCCAGTGAGAGGCGAGGTCTAAGGTTAGGTGGTGGTTCTGGTTCTGCTTGGCTCTGAGTGGTGGGGTTTTGCAGCTCCTGATGTCTGGTCTGACCCCCACATGGAGCTCAACACATGCCCCAGCCCCATCCCCCAGCCCCGTTTTCTGGGATGGGAGCTGAAGAGCGAATCCGAGGTCCAGTCTCTGGGCGTAACAGAGAGGCAGCATGTGGGGAGCGGGGAGCAGTGTCCACTGCTGTGCCGAGGGCCAGCCTCATGTGGGACGCTGTGCGTGAGGACAGCTTGACCCCTTCGTGCATCACAGCAGCGCCGCTTTCCTCTGACTGGTAACACCCACGCCCTGTGAAGGGGGCATGTGCAGGCCTGGGTGGTCATTCCGGCGGGTGCTTCTCAGGCAGTCTGAACCCCTGTGAGGGCAGAGGAGAGTGCTTTACACCCATCTGGGGATGCAATCCAAAGCCTGAAAATCTCTGAAGTTCCATGATTTAGCTGCAAAAAGAAAAAAAGCATTTGCCTTCTATTCCTGAAAAGGATACCCATGCTTTAATGTAAAAATGAGTTTAATTGCTAATCAGAAAGTAAAACCAATCCCCAGAGAGGGTCACTGGGTATGCTTGCTGCTGAGCGGATGCCCCGTGTGCTGGTGGCACAGGCCCACAGGCTTCCCTCAGGGACTCTGGGGAGCAGCGCTGTCTACCCTGTGCGTGGGTGCGCCAGGCAGAGAATCCTCTGCACTCCCTGCCTCTCTCAGAGCCTCCTCATGCTGCTGTCCGGGTAGCGACTTGAAAAGCCCTGGCTTTGGAACACTGATGCGTGTGGGTCCTGGATGGGGTGACTTAGAACTTCCTGCCCCCCCCCCCCCCCCCCCGCAGGCTTAGTGCTCTGGAGACTCACAACTTCCAGGACCAGGATCCCCGTGAGTCCGTGGACTCTGCCCGCATGGAGCTGTCCAGCCAGCAGAGGGCGCTCAACCCTTAGGGTCAGAGCTTCCTGGCCGGGTTTCGGTCTCTGCCGGCTGCAGTCACCAGTTCTCAGGACCCAGGGGCCCGCTTGGAGCCTGCATCCCTTAGGTGAAAAGGATCCTCTTACCTTTCCTTGAGGGCTCTTCTTAGGAAAGCTCCAGAGCCAGGCTCTTGTGTTGACAGCCGCAGGCTGCAGTCCCCTGTCCCACTCCCCAGTGTGTGGGGGTTGAGGGTGCTGGGGATCTAGATTCTGCTCCTGCCACCTGCCGGCATCTGAATCCCTGATAGGCTCGGGCTTCTGGGAAGAGTTCAAGGTGTCCAGGGCTGCGTGCTGTGACACTGCTGTGCCCCGGGGTTCCCAGGTCTTGCCCATCAGCCACACCAGCATTTCCAGCCTTGGCTTGGGAGTAGAAGTGGGACTGTCCCTGTTTGTACACTCCGTGCTCCCTCAGAGGAGCTGGGGGGACAGGGCTCGCATACAGGGAGAGCACAGAGTCCAAGCCAAGCGAGGACGCTGGGCGGCTGGTGGGGTGTGTGCCTGGGTTCAGGGGGCCCGGAGAGCCCACCATGGTGACATGGTCTACAGCAATTCCTACCTCCCACCGTGCTTCAGCCACTCATGCCACGAGAGGCCCGGGCCACGTGGGGCAGAGACCATGCTGGGGTGGCCTCACACAGAGCAAACTCAGCTGGGGACGGGGTGCTGTCTCAGGGTGACTCAGGGGGCCTGGGACCCCTTCCGGCCTGCTTCCCTGAGGTTCCAGGATGCTGGGCGTCCTAGCCAACAGCAGCACTGAGAAACAGCCTTGCCGTATCTGGTTCTTCTGCCCGTGAGCACTGAGGACCGTCCCCACTAGAAGGCTGCTGTTCCTACACAGGAGAGTGACCGAGAAATTATGCTCAGAAGAGGCAGATCACGTTGTTGTAAGAAGATGACCTCATTGCTGCCCAGACCATGAGGTCACCCCACTAACATGCTGCAGGCCCAGAATGGAGGCAGGCAGCCCCCACGGTCCCCTGTGGGCCAGGCCGGGGTCCCTGTGTCACATGTCTCTACCTGGACCTGTGACAGCGCGTGGAATCCCCCTTGACTGCATCTCCCCTTTGGCTACGAAGACTTTCATAATTTAGCCTAGCATGGATTAGGGGGTGTTGGGAACAGAGCCTAAGGCAGGGGCGTGGGGGGAGGGTCAGAGGGGGTGAGGCATGCCCCAGGCACCTGCCTGTCCTTTGGCAGCTGTCCTGGGGATGGGCCCCAGGCTGTCTGGGTGGGGTTAGGGGGGAGAACATTCAGGAAGCACCTGGCTCCTCTCATTCCAGGTCTCCAAAAAGTATAGTGAGATCGAGGAGTTCTACCAGAAACTGAGCAACCGTTACCCCACGGCCAGCCTTCCCCCACTCCCCAGGAAGGTCCTGTTCGTTGGGGAGTCCGACATCCGGGAAAGAAGAGCCGTGTTCAATGAGATTCTGCGCTGTGTCTCGAAGGATGCCGACTTGGCTGGAAGCCCAGAGCTGCTGGAGTTCTTAGGTACCTGAGGCTCTGTCCCAAACCTCTGAGGTCTCCGTTGGCCCAGAACTGGGCCTCACTCCCCTGGCTGGGCCAGAGCAGGGCCGCCACTGCTGGCGGGAGGAGACTGCCACCCGGGGCTCCCACGGGAGCCGCCAGACGGGGCCCCCACGGGGCCTTCTCTGTAGTCTGACCCCACCGGTGCCCATCCTGGCCGTCCCCAGAGCCTCCCATCCCATACGTACACATGCCCCACTTTGCCTCCTGCCAGCCAGGCCTCAGACCTGGCGCCCAGGGAGGTTAAATTTTTAGAGGGGTGAGGAATAAAAAAAGCAAAGCTGGTGAATGCACAGAGGTTGGGGTTGGGTGAGGCTGCAGAGCCCCGGCTTCTTCCACCATTTTCCAGCCCCCCATATGCACCTGTGGGCCCCGAGTTGTTCGCTGTGAGATCACAGCCTGCTTGCCTCCCAGTGGGCTGTGTTGCCTGTGATACGGGCGCCCCAGCTGATACCGTCATTGGAAGAAACTCCGGGTCTCCTGGCCCCTCTTACAGAGACGTGGGTGGGATACAGTGGTCTGACTCTCCCCGCCCTTCTGGGCCTCCGTTTCCTTATCTGTAGAACGGAGGCGTGAACAGGATCTCTCCTGCGGATTTTTACAGTAGTTCAATGAGTCCATACCTACAAAAATGCTTTTTACATGATGCCTATCACACGGAATAGAAATTTTGAGTGATATTTCCACATTTGTTCTAATAACAAGCATAACATCAGGCAGCCTATCATTACTGCTTAGATCTACATAATGCAGTCGCACATATTGCTGTGGTGTATCCCAGGCATGCTGTAGGTTCTCTATCTAAGGGTGGTATTTTTTTTTAAAGGAATGGCTTTCAGGGGTCTGTTACTCAGTAACTATCTGGATAGAGGTGATCAAGTAGTCTAAACCTATGTTTCTCAATCCGTCCTTGGGGAAGGGCTAGATTTGTATTCCCGATCGGTCATGGACAGATACTTTCACAAATACAGAATCACATGTCTGGGTGTCGTGACAATGCCAAGCTGCTATGGAAGTTTCCAGATGCTTGCTCTCCCTTTCTGTGCTTACCACATCATGGATTTCCATCTGTGGACCATGCTTTGAGAAGTACTGATGTAAGCCAGTTTGTAATGAAGCTGTTACAGTTTGTTCTGGAATCTTCCATGAGCTCACTCTGCGCCCCATTGGGTTCATAGTCTAAGTGCCCAGACCCTTGGAGCAGGTCTTCATTTATGGTTGGATTGCCAGAGCTCCCTGATAAGCCCCAGAGATGCATGCGGGCTGGCTTTCTCTGCCCTTAGCCCGTGGACATAGGCTTGGCTGTTGCCATGTTGTCAACTTGTTCCAAGGCTCGTGCCTATAACCACTCCACTGTAGGCTTCGCTGCAGGCTCTGGGCTTGGAGCCCCAGCTGCCCCCTGTCTACCCAGACGCAGCAGCCTGTCCCAGCATGTTGCAGGAAGCCCCCAGCTCAGGTCCTGGCACAGGAACTTGGGTGGGGCAAGGCTGCCTCGTCCTCTGGCAGTGGGTATCAGGTGCCTTCCTCCCTCTCCTTCCACAGGCACCAGATCCCCAGGGGCTACAGACCTTACCAGCAGAGATGTCTCTGTCCTGGATACACACAACCAGGCCCAGGAAGACGGGGAGGCTTTCGACTTCTTTGAGCAGCAGGACAGAGCAGAGCCTGAGGCTCTGCCCATCCAAGGCTGGAAGGGCGAGGATGCAGGAAAATCCTCCGAGGAAGAAGAGGAGGCACTGGATCCCCTGGGCATCATGCGGTAGGTCTCCACATCCTGGATAGGGCCTCCTTCTGGCCTGCCCCAAGCTCTCTGGTGAGGGCTTCTCTCCCTCCATCGCTCGTCATCACTCCCTGTGGCCTGGTGTGCTCGGGCTGGGCTCAGATGTTACCTTCTCCTCCCTGGCCCTCTGGCCAGGCAGGCCCTGGGTCCCAGCTCTGTACTGAGTCCCGGCAGGGCTGCCCTTGGCTGAGTACCCCCGGACAGCTCAGCAGCCCAGGAGCCCTGGGCTCTCCACCTGGCTCATCACTGACAGCCTGGGGCTTATGGCATGTGTTTGGAGCCCCCTGGGCCCTGTTGTACTGTCCTTAAAGCAGGGGTGTTGACCTGGGCCCTGCCTCCCCACAAGGCAGTTGTAAGGCCCGTGAATCACATGGATGGAGGGGACAGATAGCCTCTGAGGAGCCAGCTGTGTGTGATGGAGAAGGTGGCACGAGCCCCCCCCCCCCCCCCCCCCCCCCCCGCCCAGTCCGCTGAGTTCCTTTACGTGCGCGGACACACACACAGGGGCGCACACACAGGTGCCCTGGCTGGGGAGGAAGGGTTGAGCCAGGTATGGTCTCAGTGGTCCCTCGGCTGTCATCCGCTGCCTCCTTCTTTCCTGAGCCCCTGATGCCTTCGCGAATTGGTACGCTGCTCCCGGGCCCCAACGGCGGGGCTGCCCTGTGCTGGGGGCAGGGGTCCGGGCGGGAGAGCTGTCTGTTCCTGAGGCCCGTCCAGTGCACACAGGCCGAGGTGTCTGAGCGGGACCCCCCCCCAAAACAAGACAGGCTTGGCCGTCCCAGGCCCGAATGAGAAAGCAGGTGGGAACCTGTTTCTGAGCATCTCCCACTCGCCGAGCGTACTACCCGCACTGCATGCCCTGTGGTCCACAGACACCCTGCCTGCGAGGAGATGCTGTCCTCCCACTTCACAGGTTAAAGAAAAGCTGCAGAGGCCGAGTGCCCGGCCTGAGGTCAGTCAGCTGGTAAACAATGGCACTGGGATTCCAGTCTAGGTCAGGGTTTTGGACGCTGCTTGGCCTTGATCCTGGCTCTGCTGTTTCCCAGCAGTGTGGCCCTGGCAGTGTACCCCTTGTCTTCAGTTTCTGCGGTGAATCGGGTCATGGTAGCCCCTCTCCACAGGGCCCGGGTGGAGGCTGAGTTAAGGCGAGTGCCAGCACGTGCTGCTCTCATGGCTGCAGCTTGCCGCCCCACCCCCTCCCCCGAATCGGACTGTAGACCCAGGGTGACCGTCCCTCTGTCCTGATGAGAGATCAAAGTTCAGTCACCCTACAAGGGATGCCCGCCTCACAGGTCCTATTCCAGAAATCAGGGAGGGGCAAGTTCAGCGTAAAGGACATGAAAGTTGCAGTCCAGAAAGCTCTGCCCACCGCCCACCAGCCTTCCTGTCCTGGGGGAGTCGGGGGGATGTGAGGCTGGGAATGGGCAGGTGGAGGTGTGGCTGCATGGCCCCTTGTGACCAACCTAGAGGAGATAAGGAGTCACACTCTGGAAACCCGGGCCCAGAGCCAGAAGTGCAGGCCTGGGGTCTGGTCCCCCTAGCCCTCCATGGGCACCCTGACCCAGACGGGGGGTCAGTGGCCCTGGGGGAGAGGCAGCGAGGTTATGTGGGGAGCAGTCTGTAGGAGCCACTTCCTAGCAGCCTCACACGACCTGCAGGCCCTTCTTGGGCTTATTTTGGTCAGGATGAGGCTTTGTTTGAACTCGGGCTCCCTGTTGTTCAGAGGAACCACACGTAAAGCCAGACCAGGATTTCAGTGGTTTGTGCCAGCTTTTGGCTGAGGGTCATGCTTAGCAAAGCGGCTCCTTTTTTGGGTAGGAAAATGCTGTTTGGGGTTGGCAAGGGCCGCCTTGAATTTCCTACTTATTCCAGTAGCAGATAGTCAAGGGACATGTCTGGGACCACCCGCCCCCGGCACTGTCACCAGCTCTGGGGGCCTCATTCTCGAATGCCAGGAGAGTGTAGCACCTGCCCAGGGCCCCAGAGGCTTAAGACCTTCTGCTGGTTTTTCCTGTAATGACGGGTGTGACAGTGGTCGGTACTGTCACTCTCATCAGGGAGAATAACACCTAAGGTCTTTTGAGAGCTTATTAAATGCCAGAAACCGATTTCCATTCCTGTGACTGGACATTTCTCTTCTATTTCTGCTTTTGTTTTTTTAGAGGTCATGACACACCACATTGCTCTCAGAACCTGTGTGGGTTCGTGTGCTCCAGGAAGTGTGTGCATGTGTGTGTGTGTGTGTGTGTGTGTGTGTGTGTGTGGAAGCTGAAGTCTTGAAGTATGGAGACAAGTAGCTCCTCCAAATTCACGCAGCCCCATTTGGCAGGTCATGACTCAGTGGTGCCCCCTTGACTGTCCCTTGATTCCAGTCATTCTGCAAAGTGGGAGGAGGGCAGGGTCCTGGGATTACCCCCTTTAACAGATGGGAAAGTCCAGGACAGTTGAGCAGGGACTTGGCTGAGCCTTGCGTGTGGCCGCCCCGCCGCCCACCCCGTGGCCACACTCCCAGATGTGCCCCCCTACCCCCACCCCAGCACTCCTGTGGGCCTGGCTTTCCCGAGCCACCTCATTTCCAGGCGACAGGCATCTGTCCTTCCTGCCGTGGGCCTGGCGGGGCGCTGTTGCTCCACGGCAGGGCTGCTGGGGGGCGGAGGGGGGGTGGGGTGCGGGTTGCCAGCACAAAGCCCCGTGCCCAGACGGCCTGGCTTTTCTTTGTCTCTTAAACCTGGTTTTGATTAGGGGGAAAGAGTTGCTGCACCAGCACCGACTGCTCCAAGACAGAAAGCGCTCTCCGTGGGCCCATCCTGGCCATGCTGCTCCCCTGCTTGCGGGGGTTTGAGCATCCTTGTCCAGGCGTGACCCACAGATCTGCACACCGAGCGCACAAGCCTTGCACGCTGTGCTCTTCTCTCCATGTCCTGTCATGGTCCCCTCCCCATCCCACAGAGTTGTCAGGTCTCGCTCTCCGTGTTAGAGACAGCACCTCTGAGAAAGACGGAGTTCTACCATGATAGTTCTGCCTTCTGCTGGAAATACCTTGTTGGGAACGTTTTTAATCGTAACTCCAATGATACACGACTGGTACAGACAATTGAAAACACAGCAGAAGGCTTTTGCCCTGAAGGTATATGCTTCTGGATGTACGTTTCTCAAACCCAAAATGGGATTGCGTTGTGTGCACCATTCCACAGTTTGCTTGTTTTCAGCTTATATATTGGGTCTTTCCAGATCAGTAAATCAACTTCTACATTTGTAACTGTGCTAGTCCGCCGGGTCGATGGCCTGTAAGTGGCATTGCCAGGCCTGCCTGGGGGCACTGTGGTGTTTTCTGTAAGTTTTTGCTATTACAGGTGGTGAGGAACTTTATCCTGTGTAGAGCTTTTACCCCCAGTGAACTGCCCTTAGAGCCATGTCCTGGGCTCTTCTGCCCAGGGGCCTTGGTTGTGCTCCTCCAGGGAAGCATTCTTTAGGGACCCAGTCCCTCTCTTTTGGGAAGGCCTCTCTGCCTACTCACGAGGCTGCTGCCTCCTACCTCTTCCCCCAGTGCCCAGGGAGTCCCTCCTCTAGCCCCCAGTCCCAGAGGACCCTTAGGGACACTGGCACCTTTAGGGACAGGCTGGTTCCTGCATGGATATGCCTTCCCTCAAGGCTGGGCTTCCTGCTCTCTGCTCACAGGAGGGGGGGCCAGTGCCCAGTGGCCTGTGCGTGGCCTCCAGCAGGGAAGCTGGACCTTTTTTTGGAGCATGAATCATGCGTTTTGTCACAATTGTTTATACAAATGTTGCGTTATCTTCACAAAAGAATCCTATGCATCTTAGTATAAAAATGTTTTACCCTACATTTGGGTAACATCACTGATCTGGGATGACCCAGCACACTGCCAGGTACCCCTTAACTTGCTCCCATTGGAGATTGATTTATTTCTGCCCCAGCTTTATTGAGAACTGGTCGGCATATGGCATTGTGTGAGTCTGAGGTGTACCGTGTGATTTAATGCACATATACATGGTGAAGTAGTCACTGCGGTGAGGTTAGCGGCCGCCGCCATCGATCGCCACACAAAAGTACAGTTTCTGAGATTCAGAAGCACGGTGTCCCCCAGGTAGGCCGTGGCGGGGTGTGCAGGGAGTTGCGCGGGCGGCTCCTCGCCCACCCCACTCACATGGGTAGCAGGCCCACCGGGAGCCCCGAGCACCCTGCAGCTTGTGAGAAGCCCCTCAGACTGGGGCTTTAAGGAATGCTCTAGGTGATCCACGGGGAAACTCCCGCTTGAGGAGCCCCAGAAGCCAAAGTTGATGAGGGCCTTGGGTATGGCAGAGGGAACTGAGACAGGAGCAGTAGGTCCACTGGCCATGGGGCTTCCAGGAGGGTGGTCCCAGGCACCCTCGGGGGGCCCCTCTCCGGCTCTCTGGCTTCGCTCCCCTCCCACCTGCCACCTGCTGGGGGGGGGTCTCCCAGTCACAGTGGGGCCGTGCAGTCAGCCCTGGCCTGGCCTGGGACCAAGATCAATGAGGACTACAGGGGGCACGGTGACAGCTGTCCTACCGCTCACAGCCACAGCCCCCATTAGCGCAGCCACACGTGCTCTACTGACCAGATCTCCCCATCCATGTTAGCGCAGAAAGTCTGGCATGAATGAATGGTGTGACACTGCCGTATACTTTTTTTTTCTTTTTTAAGGTGACATTTTGAAGATGTATTTATCTGTCAGAGAGAGAGAGTGCGCGTGTACACAAGCAGAGAGGGAAGGCGGGCTCCTCCCTGAGTAAGGAGCCTGATGTGGGACTCAATCCAGGATGCCGGGGTCATGGCCTGAGCCGCAGGCAGACGCTTACCCGACTGAGCCACCCAGGCATCTGCTTTCCACTCTTTTAATTCAGTAGCAAGAATTTCAGTTCTGGAGAAATCTCATACAGAGCCCCAGTGTGTATCAAACAGCCCGAGGGAGAATTGGCCCGGTTGGGACAGGAGTAGGG